GTGTGGGCGGTCGAGGGTCATTGAGCCTGTTATTCCTCGTTCGATTCCTGCGACCTGTGTTTATTACCCATTCTTTATTCATTACCCAAAACAGGTCTGTCATATCGTTAGGAGATGGAGTTGGGGCCACGGATCTTATACTGTCCAATGCCAGCTTATTCCATGCGCTGTCTGGATTCTGTCTCTTATACACATCTAGATGTGTATAAGAGACAGCCTGTGTTTATTACCCATTCTTTATTCATTACCCAAAACAGGCCTGTCATATCGTTGGGAGATGGAGTTGGGGCCACGGATCTTATACTGTCCAATGCCAGCTTATTCCATGCGCTGTCTGGATTCATCAGTAGTTAGGGTTATGGTTTTCTTTGTTACTTCGTTTTTGAAAATGAGAACAGTGACTGCTGATTTCATTGAAAAGCAAGAAAGGTGACCCAATTACAAATTTCCAAGGGTTAGGGTTATGGGTTTCGACTTTCAAGTCACAAGAAAACCACCATGCTGTACTGAAAGGATTCACGTGACTATAAGCCAGGCCCTGTCGGGCCTCGGAAAACATCGAGTCCTTGGGGCCAAGCCAAATTCGGAGAGAGGAGGGCCACACGACCCTCACAAGAAAAATGCTTAAACACTTTAGGGCCAGGGGCCCAGTCCAGAAGCAGTCGAATTGAGAGGTCCAGTCCCGTTAGAAGTCAGCAGGGTCCAGTTTCGGGCAGTCGTAGGCCCAAGTCAAGAAAGGTCTAGAGTTCGAAGTCGACCTGTTGGGCCTGAAGAGTCCAGAAGTAAAGTGGTTACTGGTTGGGCCTGGTACCAAAGGAAAAGTGCAGAAGTCTGAAGTCCAACCTTGCAGCAGCACCTTCCGGAAGGCACGGGTACCCAAGAAACATGCAGTCCACTGCACATAGACCCAAGCCGCCGGTACCCGTCCGGAAAGACCAACCCAGTCCATGCAACTATATAAGCAAGCACAGTGCCTTGGCAATTCATTCAGAGTTGCATGTTGCGGAAGCAGTGCGCGGCTTGTGCGACCGTCGCGACCCTGTGGCTTGTGGTAAAGAGGAGGACGACGTGAAGCAAGTTGGAGGCGACGAAGAGGAAGGCGGCCATAGCTGCTGCGGTGAAGAAGCAACAGGCATCCATAGCCGCTGAGGACCAAGGAGGCGGGTGTATTCAGGGATAGATCCAGGCATAGAGAACGTGAGACAC